AGAAGGTAAAGGGAAGTAAGCGGTATTTACTCTGTTCAACTCCTCAGACCTACCTGCAGAAGAACAGGACCTGTTTAAGTAGTTCCTTATTAAATGGCAAGCCCATATAAGGCAAGGCACCATAATCAATATAAATAGGCCATTATTCAGTATAATTTGTCAGTAGCTGACATGAGTAAACTTTATTAGAGCTATAAACGAGAGTCCTGTTTATATCAGCAAACAGGGAGAAGATGTAATATTCAGCATCTCTTTGATTTCTTAGAACTCATAACACCTGCCTTAGCCTAAACTTTCCCTGACTGAAAATGAAATTTAAATATTTATTTTTGACACTGGGCTCCAATAGTGTGCTAGATTAATAGAGAATGTAAATTAATCCTCATAAGACCTCTGTGAATTGTGAGTATTTTATTCTCATTTTACAGAAGTAAATACTGAAGCTCAAAGGATTTTAAATGACCCACCTTGGGTTACTCAGTGAGTAATAGAGTCTCAGTAGAGCCAAATTTCTCTGCTTGAAGTCCAAGACACTTTACATTATAATATATGAAGTACAGTAGTTAAATTATAGCAGATAGATCAGTCCTTCCTCTGGTCTAGAGTGTTCTAATACATCTGCAAGCAAAGATAACATTTGAGCAGTTTGCTTTGCAGTTACCAGTAATGCATGTTGTATATTTTTATTGTTTGTGGACTCTGTTCTAGTTTGGTTTATTTCCCTTTCTGTTTGGTAAAGAACAGAAACTTCCTGAACTTGGATTTTGGCTTTACCTTTTATTAGCAGTATAATTTTAGTTCTTAAAAACTTCACCAAACTTGAGTTTTCTAATCTATAAAAATGGGGTAATACCTGCATCATTGGGTGATTATATTAATCTGTTGCTGCATAATAAGTTATCCCCAAAATCAGTGGCTTAAAACAACAAATACTTATTACCTCACTGTTTCTGTGGGTCAGGAATTCTGGAGCAGGTTAGTGGGGTGCCTCTGACTCAGGGTCTCTCAGGTTCTTAGCTGGGGCTGGAGGATCTGTTTCCTAGATGACTGCCTCAGTGACTGTGCAGAAGGCCTTAATTCCTCACTTTGTGGGCCTCTTCATGGCCTGTTCGAGTGTCTTCCTAGTATGGCAGCTAACCTCCCCCAGAGTGTGTGATCGGGAGAAAGAGAAAAACAGCATATGCATGCACAGAAAGCCACTTTGTATTTTGTAAACTAGTTTCCAAAGTTGTACACCTTTTTATATATATACATACATACAGAAAAAACATTTTATAAATATATGTATGTATAACATAGGCTATATTTTATTCTTTAGAATCAGGTCACTAAGTCCAGCCCACACTCAAGGGGAGGGAAATTAGGCTCCACCTCTTGAAGGGAAGAATATCAAATAATTTGTGGATTATTTAAGAGGTAGCGTCTGTGCCCTAAGAGTCCCCTTCTTTGACCACTGCTGATGTGTTCTGAGAGTTCAGTTACCTTTCTTGCTGTTAGTCTGCCATCTAGCTCAGCTGGTGGGGCAAGAACAGGCTTTCTGATTGAGCAGCTCCCCTAAAGAACAGAGAGAAGTGACCTACTTCATTGACCCAAAGGCTGAAGTAATAGTTGTTATAATCATTCCTTATAAGGGTAAAGTGATATAACCTGCATTAATTTCCTGTCTGCCTAGTATACCAGTGATACTTCCACCAATCCAAGGGTGAATAATCAGGGCATTTTCTTTTGAGTACATTAGGAAGAGGGGATATTATTCCTAAGCTTCACTCAGTATTCTTTGCCGAATTGAGAAAGCAGCAGTAGATCTAACCCTGAAAACTTGTAGGCTTTACTATGTAAACATGGCCACAAAGGGTGGGGGTGGGGTGGGGGGGGGCGCAATAAGTTCCTGTTGTCTCTGCATCTAATAGCCTTTTAGGCACCTTCCTGTCTGTAAATAGAAGCCTCCATAGAAACTGGAGTAGATGAATGAAAGGAGGGTGTGGTGTTTTCAACCTGAGCACTGAGGTAGGACTGAAAGACCAAAACCCAGGTCTTGGTCTTCAAGGGTAGTAGCTTTTTAGAGACTGTATAGCCATAAACCAACTCAGGTTGGTCTTCTAAGTGGTTCTTATGTATGTATAATCTTGGGGATGAGTCTCCAAGGCAAAATCTGATGTTGCTGAATTCACAGCACTATTGGAATTAGTCAAGTAACTGAAAGTGAAAGTCACTCAATCGTGACCAACTCTTTGTGACCCCATGGACTTTGAGTCCATGGAATTCTCCAGGCCAAACTACCGAGTGGGTAGCCTGTCCTTTCTCCAGTGACTCTTCCTGACCCAGGAATCAAATTGGGGTCTGCTGCATTGCAGGTGGATTGTTTATCAACTGACCTAACAGGGAAGCACTTAACTGGGCCAGAGTAAATAGCGTTGAGTATTCTCTGTGGGGCAAAGGAGAATGAAAGTGGGAAAAAAACATCACATGTAAGCCGATTTCTGAAAGTTATATCTCAACCATTTCCCTGAGCTCTGGACTTGATATTCAGCTGCCTACTTGACAATTTCACTTGGATGTTAAATAAGTTCTAAACTTAACATTTCCTAAACTTTGAACTCCTGGTTTTTTATTATCATCATTGCTCTATCCCTAAGCAAAACAAAATAAAACAAACCAACAACAAAAAAATAGCCATGCTAATTCTTCTGCAGTCTTCCTCATCTCAGTAACTGGCAATTCCATTCTTGAAGTTACTCAGACCAGAAACCTTGGGGTCATGCTTGGCTCCTTTTCCTCTCATGTTCTACCTTCATTCCATTAACAAATATATTAACCTATAAAATATCCAGAATTCCTCACTTTTACTGCTGCTGCCCTCATCCAAACCTCCCCCTCTCCCTTTCTGGATTGTTCTCAGAACCTCCTAATTGATCTTACTTACACTATTCTCTCTCTACAATTGTTGTCTACATAGTAGCCAGAGGGAGCCTGTTAAAACATACAGATAATTTCATACCTATGCTGAGTATTCACCAGTGGCTTCCCAGCTGACTTAGAGTAAATGCCAAAGCAATTGTCGGACAATGTATGTCCTACAAAGTCCTATCCAGTGTAGGCTCCATTCTCTGATTTAATCTCTTAGAATCATCCCCTTGGTTACTGTTTCAGCCAAATTCCTCCATGCTGTTCGTTACACATAACAAGCACATTTCTGCCCCAAAGCTTTTGCCTTTTCCTCTACTTGGAGTGTTCCTCCTGCAGATACATGTGGCTTACTCCTTTATTTTCTTCATGACTGTGCTAAAATTCACTTTATCAGAAAGGCCTTTTCCTGCCACTCTGTGACGAATTTGGCATATAATGAGTGCTCAACAAATGTTTGTCCAATGAATGAAACATACTAGAGGTATAGTGTGGTAGCTCTTCTGCTTGTTGTGTCTCCCTGCTCCCCCATGATGGCGTGTTAGTATGCTGTGGAGCTTGCTCCTTGGAGTGCTTAAGAGGTTCTTAATATTTACTGATTGCAGAAAGCTCTGAGGAAGAGTGACCAGGTTAAACATTAGGCCTGAGAGGTGACTGGTCCACTGTGGGAGAAATTTGGCATGTGGAGAACTTGAGCCAGCCTGACTCATTCCCTTCTGTAGTGAGGAGTTGTGGCTGGGAAAACAAAAAGACATTTCCTTTATAATATCCTATCTGGAAAACACCTCACACTGAGTGGTAATGACCGGGCTTTCATTTGGCAGGTTGTAGAGGTGGCTTGGGGCCTTGATCATTCTTTTCCTATCCAGGTGCCTCAGGAGGTGGTCTTAGGAAGCACAGTGTGAGAGGAGCAGGACATTGGATTATTTTTAAGCCAAGAAAAACCAAGCCAATCAGAAGGAAAACATGGGATTCAGCCCATGGTATAATTATACAGGCTTTTACAGTCTCAAAATGACATCTATCTGTCTATGTAAGACACTGCATGTAGGCAGGGGCTAGAAATAACTCCATCTGATAATGGGTATAAAATTCAAGCATAGAATAATTAAATAACTCGCAAAACTGGAATTTGGACCAGGCCTATTGATTCTCTTTCCCATTTTGGCCAACAAAGCGATGCCTGGCCTACTTTGAGTTTTATTGCTTTCAGATTAGTAGAACTGATGTGGTAAGGTGGAATTTATAGTTAAGATAAAAGAAGGCCAAATTCAAAGAATTAGCTCTCATCTCAGGCTTCTTGGGTCCTTGAACTTTATCTAATATTTAAACCACATATGCTGTTTATTTCTTCCTAAATGATCATGAAAAGCAGAGACCAACAGCTTCCAGCATATCTAGAAATTTCCCGAAGATTTGGTTCATTGAGATAACTGCAAATCAGGTGTATAAATCAGATTCTTAAGTCATTAAAACAACCGTGAGACACTGGTTGAATTTCCTGTTCATTTCTTTCTTCTCTTGTGAAGACTGGTTTGCTGGATTCCCTATTTTCTGGGAGAACCTTGGCTATTGATATTCCTTGGGTAGCTTCTCCAAGCATTTATCATTCATTGTTTTTATATACCTTACAGTAGGACTTGATTTTAGGTGTTTGATCTCAGGGCTCTCTCATTTCCTTAACATAATATATGGCATTTGATATAATATATAATTACTGCTAATGCAGGTGTTGTGAGAGAAAAAAAAAAAACATGACTGGCAGAGAAGATAATAGCTTCTGTTTGCATTTCTTTAAAGGATGGCTTAATTTATACAGTTGCACCTGTGTTGTCTTCCAGTAGGTTGTAGAACCACCCATATTATTAGTAGAGCTTCACATATAGTAATCCTGGTGCCTGCTTTGGTGGGTGGGAGGTTAGGGCATGGGATTGGTTCCATTGCTCTATTCTGACCTGAAATGCATGTTATTGAAGCTGAATATGAGGGTGGGTCTAAAGACTGACTAAGAAGCAGGGCTCTGAGCCAGTAGCTGGGGCCTTGTATCCTGTTCAGCATAGGCTCCCATGGTAACTGTATTCAACACTTTCTCACAGCTGCTCCTGACATCACTGGCCATAAACGGAGTGAGAACAAGAATGAAGGGCAGGATGCCATGATGTACTGCAAGTCAGTTGGCTACCCCCACCCAGAGTGGACATGGCACAAGAAGGAGAACGGTATGCTCGTGGTGAGTAGGAGGCAGTCCTGGTCCTCTCTGTGTGGGTGTCTGTGGTTGCTGGAGTTCTCCTGGGGTGCTCCAGACATCGGGACAAGTCTCTGCAACCTGCCATCCTAGCTGCCATGGCTTGGGTCACCCTTTCTGGGGTCATGGTTATACCATGAATTTGAAGGGCACTGAGAGTCTCTGCTCAGCATGGAATCCCTACATATGAATTTATTAAAGCTGTCTGGTAAAAGGCTTGGCTATTTGCCTTCAAGATAAGACACCCAAGAAGAGCTAACCCCAGTCTTAAAATTTTACTATTATTCTAGTCCATTTATCCTAGAGAAAATATTGTTCTTGAAGTGGTCTTCATGTATTTTCCTCATTTTTTGGGGAAGGCAAGGCAGTAAGAGCAGTTAATAGTATTATATATTCCTGAAACATATTAAATTACTGATTAGGAATTGAGACAGTCTAAGGAGGCCCACTGGCAGCCTTAGGCATTGGAAATCTGGCAGTATCTGCTCCAGAAAAGGTCAAAGAAAACATCTTTTCCAATCTGTGGGATGACTCCTGATGGTATTGGGAGAGTCAAAACTTGAGACTCTTGATTAATGCTTGACCAATCTCCTATTCTCTCAGATGGGATGTCATACATTACTCTCCAGGCTTTGTATGCCTAGAACTATACTTTTCAGGCATCCTTTTTGATTGTCAGTCTTTAGAATCAGAAGGGACCCTAGAGATCATGTAATCCAGGTTCTTTAGAAAGGTTATAAATATTAACCAAGGTAAATTGGTGGCGGACCACAAACGTTTCTTGCATATGATAGTACTTTAAAAATACCCTTTGAAACTATAAGCAAGGTGAAAAGACAGCTCTCAGAATGGGAGAAAATAGGAAATGAAACAACTAATAAAGGATTAATCTCCAAAATACACACGGCAGCTTATGCAGCTCAGTATCAGAAAAACAACCCAATCAAAAAGTGGGAGGAAGAACTAAACAGACATTTCTCCAAAGAAGACATAAAGATGGCTAAAGAACACATGAAAAAGTGCTCAACCTTGCTTATTACTAGAGAAATACAAATCAAAGCTACACTGAGGTACCATCTCACACTGGTCAGAATGGCCATCATCAAAAAAGTCTACAGGCAGTAAATGCTGGAGAGGGTATGGACAAAAGAGAACCCTCTTGCACTGTTCATGGGGATGCAAATTGATACAGCCACTATGGAAAACAGCATGGAGATTCCTTAAAAAACTAGGAATAAAACTGTCATATCACCTAGCAATCCCACTACTGGGCAGTGTACCTTCAGGAAACCGTAATTGAAAAAGACACGTTACCCCAGTGTTCATTGCAGCACTATTTACAATTGCTAAGACATGGAAGCAACTTAGATGTCCATCAACAGATGAATGGATAAAGAAACTGTGGTACATATACACAATGGAATATTACTCAGCTATAAAAAGGAATACATTTGAATCAGTTCTAATGAGGTGGATGAACCTAGAGCCTATTATACAGAGTGAAGTCAGAAAGAGAAAGACAAATATCATATATTAACATGTATATATGGAATCTAGAAAGATGATACTGATGATCCTATTGCAGGACAGCAGTGGAGACACAGACATAAAGAACAGACTTATGGTCACAGAGGGGGAAGGAGAGGGTGGGATGACTTGAGAGAGTAGTATTGAAATATATACATTATGTAAAATAGATAGCCAGTGGGAATTTGCTGTATGATGCAGGAAATCCAAAGGCTGGTGCTCTGTGACAGCCTAGAGGGGGTAGGATGCAGAGGGAGGTGGGAGGATGGCTTAAGGAGGAGGGGACATGTGTACACCAGTGACTGATTCATGTTGATGTATGGCAGAAACCATCACAATATTGTAAAGTAACTATCCTCCAATTGAAAATAAAATTTTAAAAACCCTTTGAAGGCTTGTGGACCAAAGATCATAAGTGAGAAATGTGGAATTAGTGAATGAGTAGAGCAGGAGTTAGAGGAGTTGGCAGCTTTTCAAATCCTAGGGTTGACGTTTTCACAGAATAACTCTAATTTTGAAGGCCATGAATATCTCATTTTAGCCAAACCCATACTTAAATGCAGACATGATTTATGCTATAGCTAGACATCATTCTGGAGATTATATTTACCTTTCTTCTCTACTGTTTCTGATTATCCTTTAGTTGCTGCATGTGAACTGACACAGAGAGTCAGATTTTTCCCCTGCTAGTATCCCATGAGATCAGAGCTGCAAACCTGTTCCAGCTCCACCCAAACCCCTGGTCATACTCTCACCCCTGTCTTCCCACACATGCCTGGAGCATTCCTGTCTTGCTTGGTCAGCTCTCCTCTCCCACAATCTAGCTCAAATGTTAGCTCTTCTCCAACTTTCTGTGACTCTTTCTAGCAGTGTCCATTCAGTGCAGTGTGGCTCTATACATGCCCTCTGTTGGCGCTTCTTGCACGTTCCTGGAACCATCTCTTTGGAGGTCTGGTTCCCTCTGGAGGTCATTTTTGTGTCATGCTCTGAGACCTTTTTCACCTTCCTCTTAGGTTGGATATAAAACATGTAGCATATATTAGTAAATATCTCTTGACTAAACTTTCCTTTACTGAAAGGAAGTGGAAGTTATGAATTTCCTCCATTCTGACTAGGAGCAAGTTCTTAGCATTGTTTCTAGGGGAAGTTTAGGGAAACTTTCCAGAATTCACCAAGTGTGAGGTAGATGTGCTGAATCTGAAGTCACCAAATAGGCCTGATGTTACCAGATACATACCTGACCACGGAGCTCACACCCTTTCTCCATCCTCTTTCTGGTTACGGAGTTCTTTCCTGGTGTTTGGAGCAACATCTTCAAGATTAAGTCATCTTTTCTGGGTCTGCAGGGAAGGATGTCCCTTCACTTCATTAAAATTGGAGAAGTCCTCATTCTGCTAGAAGCTTATTGATTGGTTGGTGTTGAGATTGAAGGGAAGTCAGCGATCAAGTGTTCAAAGCTGCTTGGACAAAAATGACACTAGACACTGCTCCCTGATCCAGTTCAGTGTTTTGCTGAGGATGGAGAAAAGTGTCACCCTGTGTTGGGCACTAATTCACCTACTCTGATCTTTGTGTGTTCTCACTTTTTTGCTCCTGAGTAGGATATTGTCAATACCTCTGGCCGCTTCATCATCATCAACAGGGAAAATTACACTGAGCTGAGCATCACGAACCTGCAGATCACAGAAGACCCTGGCGAGTATGAATGTAATGCTACCAACTCCATTGGCTCTTCCTCCATGGTCACCATCCTCAGGGTACGGAGCCACCTGGCCCCACTCTGGCCTTTCTTGGGAATTCTGGCAGAAATCATCATCCTTGTGGTGATCATTGTTGTATATGAAAAGAGGAAGAGGCCAGATGAAGTTCCTGACGGTAAGAGCATCCCTACAAAATAGCTGTAATGTTGGGGCTGGTTCCTTGGGGGTGGTTTCCGAGCACCCAAAGAGGACTATAAGGATGTTGGGATTCAGTCCCAAAAGGAGAAAAGGAAAAATTATTATACTGGTTCCTCATCCCCTACCCCTAAGATTAGCCACTTCGAGCTATAATTGTTAGCTCTGTCCTTCCATGTGGGTGTTCTCAAACCCCAGTCCCTTCTGCCCTTCAGGCCCCTTGTGGGGAATGGGCAGTTGTCAGTCTCTTTGTTCAGCTCTGTCCTCCTCCAATACAGATCATCAGGCAGATTGAGCTTGAGGAGAATCCAAGTCAAGCCTAGAAGCCACCCCAAGATCGCAGGCCACCTGGCCTTTTCAGGCAGATTTAAGGTATCTGATTGGTTGTCACATGGTTGCCTGGTATAGCCCCTATAGGTAACTGCGCCAGTCCAGTCAAACTGTTCTTGGGATAAGCCAAGGGAACAGGCCACCCTTTGGTTCCCTTGGTTGGCCTCTTCAGAAGGTTTTCAAGGTTCCGGGTGAAGCAGGCCCCTGCCATTTGGCTTTTTGTCTGTCTCACAAAGAATGGTGGAGAGCATCTGACGCATCACCACCCCCAGTTAAAACAAATAGCTAAGCAGTACTGCCTGGCGTCCCAGCCTGAGAAGGACTCTCAGACTGGCCCAGGGTCAGAGAAGGGAGTGAATAAGAGCAGCAGAACGACAGCCAATTGTTAGGCATTGGAAAGAACAAGAATCTTAGATTGATAGACATACCTAGTGTCAGAAAAGGTTCTCGAAGTTTCTGTGTTTTTTGTTATGGATGTTTCATTTCTAACTCTCTGATTGTAATTGGCGGGGGAGACTGCTGATTGAGACTCACACCCGTGGTACTTCAGGTTCCTAACTAGCTCCGCAGCTCCATCCTCCAGCCCTATAACATCGTCAGCAAAAACAAATAATTGACCAGCCAGCCATGATCACCCCTTGCCTGTCACTGATTGGACTGGAAGAGTGTGCCCCTAGGCTCAGCGGGGGCCAGCTCTGGGTAACAGGGAGGATGTCAACTCCAGTCTGGCTGTTCTGGGCCCATGCTTGTGTACTGGAGTGCTGTGCCCTGCCCCAGAGAGCTGTCTGTGTTCTTGTGGCTGGCCAGCAGGATGCACTGCCTGCCAGGTGTGTCAGTGGAGAATGCTCAGGGACATCTGGTGCTCCCTTAGAAGGAGTGCGGCCCTGAGGGCATGCCAGTGGCTTCAGATTCTCTGGAAGGACGTGTTTGAGAGCAGCAGCCACCTCCCCTTCTTTTCCTCTTTTCTCAGCAGCTCCTCAGTCTCTCTGCTTGCACTCGGTAGAGGGAGGATTGTAGTGAGGTTGGTGACAAGGTTTTTTGTTGAAACTAACAATGTATTTGGACGTCCATCCAAGGGTACGTTTAGCAATGAACTAGATGGAGGAATGGGATGGACTCAGCTGGAAGCAGACGGGCCTGTGCAAATTCCTGGGCTTGTTCTGTGCGACTCAGCGTTTCCTGGGATTTTTTACTTTCCTTCTCTTGGGTCCACAGAACTGCTATTCTATGATATAAAACTGCTTTCTTAGGCTTATCATGTATGAGTAATGCTTGTTTCTCAAAATTTCTCTTTCTTATTACAAATTAGGACTTCCAAAGCAGAGTACCTGTGTTTAGATCTGAGAGTAAAGGGGAAGAGTTGCCTGCCAGTGTGTTTTCAGTGTTGGCTTACTAGGAGTGGTTTTCTCTCACTCCTGAAAAGAGCTTTTTCATTCCCTCTGAATGGTTTTGCTTTGTTAAATATTACCTTTCTTGGCTTCTGTTTTGGAAAGGTTGAGATGCAAAAAGTCAGTAGAAAAAGGTAAAAATGAGCTTCAAAACTTTATTTTTTAACTTTTAAGACAAGGCTGGCTGCTCCTCTGTTGGCAGAGTGACACATTGGCTTAGCCTGTCCCTGTCAGAGATTCTAGTGGTTTTTGCAGGAAGCCATTTCACTTACCAAGTTGCTGTCCCAGTATGTATGGAAGACCTCAGTGCTAACCTGAGGAATGGTTAGCATTGATTCTGACAACTGCAAGCACCTGTCCAAGGTAGCAGCTCTCTTTTTTTTAAGAGCTCTATGGCTGTTGAACACAAATGGGGACGAGTTTCTAATAAGAGACATCTGTGGCCAGCAAAACTCATGAACAGCTTCCTAAGGGGAAAGTACTTCTTTTAAGATAAATTATTATGGTGAGTGAGTGAATCCTGTGTAAAAGAGGACTGCAGGGTAAGTGCAAAGTAAAACCGTCTTGCTCTAGTGTCTTAGAAAAATGCTGTAATGCAAGCAGCTTTTACTTTGTTGTTGTTGTTGAACTGGTGTGAAAAATCTGGGATACTGGGGTTATTGCAGAGGTTGCCTGCTCTCCATCCCCCTCCTGACGGCCAGCAGGGTCCAGGCTCCATTCTCTGTCATCCCCTTCTCCGTGCTTGAGCATTTCCGTCCCATCGTTTTCTCCTTTGTCTTCCTCCCTCTTTTTCTCAGACTCTTCCCTATTCCTGCCCTCCCCTTTTTTCTTTTCTTCTGGAAGTAATTTTTTTAAAAAAGTTCCTCCATGAGTTTTCCTTATGCTGTGTCTTTTTCTTCCTTAGCCCGTTTCCCCTCAACTCCTGTGCAATTCACAAGAGCAAACTCACCTCATGTGCTTTCCTCCCATCTGCCCTGCCTCAGATTTACATACAGATATATGCATACACTCCTTTTGGGAATGAATGAAAAGGTACATTATACCTGATACAGATTTGGAATTTTAGAGGTGATAAATTTTTTACCTATCAAATGACCGTTCATAGCTCTGTGTTGACTTATTTGTACCATTGTGAGAATTTTTTTTTTTTTTTAAAGAGGCCTGACATGCTTTTTCTCTGCCAGTGGGTATACTATTATTAAAATACAGCAACAATGTATTTCTAACTCAACCTTTTTTATATGAAAAAAGTTTATATAAAAGTCATAGTATTCATATTTGGACAGTTTGTGAGTTTTTGGTAACTCACCACTATATTAGAAAAGCACTAAGGGAATAATACAAAAGTATAAAAACACACAAATTTCAACTTAGATAGTTCAGCCTGTGTTTCGCTAGAAAAGCAAATACTGCTTTAGATTTCTCACATAGAAAATAGTTAGGGTTAAGGTTTAGCTGCCTTCTAGGTAAAGAAAAAGGCCCATGACTTTTTGTTTACTAGAAAAAGTAGAGTATTTTTAGGACATTTTGTAAGTGAAACTTATATCTAAATCCCTTAGGTCCCTATTATGGTGTCTTTGAGGATTATCTGCTTGTCACCTTTTACTGTCAATATTTTTAGTAACAGATGAGTCATGGAGCCAAGTAGGGGCTTTGTTTTTTGTTTACTCACCTCCTGACTACATTCTTTGAAAATGTTAAATGATATTTCTCTAAAAAGACTAGATACAACTAGCATCCCTCTAGTCTTCCATCCACCTTACTGCTGGACACATGTTTGGAGCACACTTTCTGTGTTGGTTCCCTGCTGACTGAACCCAGAGAGTGATTAGAGTATGCTTTCAGATCTCTCCCCAGTACCCTGAGATGGGGAATGAGCCTGCTCAGTTGTTGGGGCCTTCTGTTCTATTGCACATTTTACTGACCTTGAATGAAAGCAGAAGCTGATTTAAGAAAAGTGCTGGCATCAAAGAGTTTTCTACATTCACCATTAGGGAGATAACCTTTATAAGCAAGTATAGGCACTTTTCCTTTAAGTTACTGGTAGAAAAGATATTTGCAGTTTTGTGGGAACCATTTTTAGTGGCTGTGATGTATCCAAACTCTTTTTGACACTTCAGAATTAAGAGCTAGTCTAATGTGCCAAAATCAATTAGATGATCAAAACATTGGTAGCATATGAAGCTTTACAAAGGCCAGGAATGTTGGGAAAGAAATACGAATTTTAAAAATGATATGCGAAATGAAAAAAAAATTTTTAAAAAATGATAGCGAAACACATGTGTTGTCTCTTAACCAGGGGTCATCTGAGCCAGTAACAAGCTACCTTATGAAGAAAATATAATAGGACTGAACAAGGAAGCAAATTGGAAGTAATTGTTAATCTTTCTTGGATTTTGTGCTACTCTGCTGAGATCTGGCAAAATTTAAGTGGTTTTAGAAACCATAAAAACTCATCCTCAGTGAGATGAGGCAGTGAAAAAGGAGCTTTGACCAATCAACTCATTTTGACATTAAAGCCATCTTTTTTGAGGTGGTGGTATATCAAGTAAGCTGCTATTTACTAGGCATTGCAGAGCACCCTTCCAGATTCTGGGTCAGTATAGGGGAAGGGGAGTGAGGGTTCTAGTGCATTCGATTGGGTAGACAACATTCAGCTGAATCCGTGTGTGCCAACAGCCCCACCAGGAACTTACTCATAAGATGGATTCCAGAAGCATCTTGTTTCCATTATTCCCCAGCCCTCCTCTTCTTATCTAGTCAGTGGCTGTGAGTAATACCCAGCTGGAAAGAATAGTCATTGTTTAAGTGGCTGTCTTTTGGCCTGAGGGTTTGGGGGTATGTTGATACTTGTCGGTTACTATGACTTCTTTTTTTTCCCCCCTCAATTGCATCAAACCCTTAAAACATGGTGGTAAGTGAGTGATATGCATGCTTTTGGAGTTTGTTTAATCTCCGCTTCAGTCTATACGATGCACAGTTCATAATGTTAACACTTTTCTTCAAGTTTACTTCATTCACTTTCACAACTAATTTGGATTTCAGTTTGCTGTTTAATCCTCATTTACTTTAATTTTTGTACCTTTTTTCTGTAGTTCTGTTCTTTCCCTCTCTCCTGATTTCCCTGTTAGGGGTCAAGTTGTTGTTTTGTTTGACCTGTAAAGAGAGTGGTGCTGCAGATAGTGGTTCAGGTTAGGGAAATGGGAAACCTGAGGCTCTTTGTTCCTTGTAAATGTGAAAGTGAATTTGGGGAGAGAGATGAAGGGACTGTGAGATGTAGACACTGTTGTGTACAGCAGCTGCTCCCACTTGCAGGCATGGCAGCTACACCAGAGCCACTCTTGCTAAAACCCCTTCATGCAGCCCTTTGCACGTTAATCGGCTTGTTGGGCTGGGAAATGACGTTATTAGTCAGGCACCAGGGTGTACATACATCTGCATTACTGAAGAAAGAAAAGCTCATGGTGTGAAGTGCTTGGGTTTGTACTGACAGTGTCATGCTTTGAAAAGATGAGCTTGGCGATCGCGATTCCCTCTCCCCTGCTTTTTTTTTCTCTTAAAATTGGGAGTAGATTGGTGATATTCTTGAATCAGCTATCTTGCTTTAGAATTTTGTATTTTCGGGTACACAGCCAGAGCACTAAAAATACTCTTAAGTTTGCTCCTGTCAGTCCCTGCAGTGCTGAGTTCCTAGCATGTAGCTGGGTTGGCTTGGCCGGGATGGTGAGCATGTTAGGTTGTTGCGGTGAGGGAGGATGTAGGCCAGGCTCGTGTATCTCAGTGCCTGGTACGTCTCTGTATCATTCCACTGTATGACAGCACCCAGGTGTCTTGGGTGTCTGAGTCTTAGTTCGTTCTCTGTACTGTTCAGTAGTGTACTGTTTTCAGTAGTAGAATCCTGTGGACACTGGTGTGTTGCTAGCCTATTGTTTTGGCTGATAAGTCATTGGTTTGTGGTTAGTTTTGTTTCTGTTTTTGTTTTTTTTGTTGTTGTTTTTGTTTTTGTTTTTTTGAAATCTTTTTTGCTCCAGTCACTGTGTGTGCTGGCGGTGGCTTTGCCTCTCCGTTGCCTCGAAGGAACAGGTGGAGCAATGTCTCCCTCTGACAGACATTACTCCTGACGTGTGCTCCTGCAGATGCCTACACTGAGACTGTAATCTCCATAACTGCTTCATGTGCACCAAGCCCCCTTGTGGAATCCTGCTGAGAGTTTTTCTAGAAGCCTTCAGTTCTGAATCATTTAGTCTACCTGACTTTTGTAAAATAAAAAGAAACTAAGAGCACTTAACTTGTTCCCCCACCTTTATGGGCCTTTAAAAAATTATTGTGTGTCTGTGTATATATGTATACACACACACACACACACACACATATATACACACACACATATAACCCTGACTAAAGGGGACCAAGTTGCCCTTAGTTGAAACAGGAAAGAAAAACTTCATAAATCAGAATCAGAAAATACCAATTTAAGAAGGCACCTAAACTCAGATAATGTAAGTGTTTTGATTTAAAAAAAAAAAAAAGAGATAACTCATGGCTCATCTGGGTTCAGGTTCTGGTTTTGGCCAGGGCACAAGAATGAGCCTGTTTTTCTGTCTGAAGTCTTTTCTAGAGGGATGTCAGCACTACTCAGCTTTCTCTGGTCTGTCACAGAACATCCTCTGCTCTGCATACACTTGCTGCTGGCACAGTCCAGCCTGACTGGCCCACTATTAGGTTGAACTATTGTGGCTTCCTCTATCTTATTCTCCAGACTACAGAACAGCAGGAGCAGTGTCCTGTGGGGAAGAGAGGATGTGTGGCTAAATGTATGGCACATACACATCCATCTTACATTGCAGGATTGAGTCAAAACTATGCATGCATTCACCACAAGAAAACAAACAGCAGGATTTTACAACTGAAATGTTGGTCTGTCTTCTCATCTATTTAAGAGTGAACCACTGGAACTTGGGGACAAGATGAGTATAATAATATTGCAGCCTATCTGTCCGCTACAGTTGCAGTTTTTCATGACAAGCATTCAAAGTGTTAACTAAAACCATTGAAACAGCATACCTGCCATTAAAAACCTGAATCTAGAAATAATAACTCCATGAGTGTTTTGCACCTCCAGATGGAATGGCCTTGAATAAATGCTATGAATAGCCATGTTTGCCACTTGCCGTTTGCTTTCTATTAACCCTGATGCAGAGTCTCACAGTTTTCTCCCTTCTTCTCCTGTCTCTCAATGGATTATTAAAACCTGAATACCTGTGTAGACGATGAACCAGCTGGGCCAATGTAAGTACTTTGTTGGACTTTGGTTCAGTAGTTTCTGGTTGGGTTATTTTGTATTTGCAGTTTAATTAAAGGGCATAGCTAAGATTGTAGGGGAAGACAGTGAATGGAAAGCAGTGTTGCAGTGTAGACTTCTTAGCTGGACATGGAGCTGACTGATAGCCCTTTGATTCCCAGGACAGGCTGTACAGTTTTGTCCTTAGTAGCAATATAAAGTGGAATACCATGCAAAAAAAAAATGTTTAAAATTCTGCACACCCCATATGTTTAAATTGATACTGTGGGGGAAATGACCAGTGTATCTGAGGCTTCAGGTTTTGTTCAAGCTAGACTGTAGCATGGATAAACTGCCTGGCTCCATTAAATTGTGGGTATTCAAGAGAGACAAAACTACAAATTTCAAATCAATCCAAGATTTGCACTCTTTCCTAGAGCTGGGGACTAAGAAGTCAGAGGCAGAAGTGTGCTCAAATTAGTTCAGTGCCAGAGAGCACAGCCCTGCCTGTATATAATTAAGAAGAGACGAGACAGTGGTGTTGAGTAGAGAAAAAACTACTCACTCACTTTTGTCGTAATTATAGTTTATAAATCAAAGCCCATGTTACCTGGGTATTATCTGCCTTGGGAGTCAAAAGGATCGATTAAGGTTGTAGGCACTTTACACAGGGTGTATTAATTGTGTATTAATATCATGCAGTAAAATTTCTTACTATACCGGGGATGGCAGTAAGTGAAAGAGTCCCTGTATTTCCATGTGTTATACTTTGAAAAGTTGTTACTGACCTTGAGCTTAACTCTTGTAATGCAATTTCTCCTCCAAAGGAAAACCAACTCTACCAACAATCACAAAGATAAAAACTTGCGCCAGAGAAACACAAATTAAATACTACTTATAATGTAAGTATGGACTTAAGTTTTAAGTTATATTCAAATGAATGTGCCTCTTTTGACTTTATCACAAAGTCTTCAATAGCTGATGTTATGTTGCAAGATCTTTCAGTTGATTTCAGGGCTTCCAATACTGACGGAACAAGTTGTCTGTCCAGTGAAGCAGCTGGAGAGGAACATTTTCAGCTGAGTTGTAAAATATAGATGCTTTTCAGAGTGTGTCTATGATGTTTCAAAGCATCACCTTACCTCTTTACTTCTTTAAAAAGAGGTAAAAGTTAAATTGTCACCTTCTTAGGTGGATTATTCCTGAGGCCAGTTGGTCCCACTTTGCTTCCGGGGGCAAGGCAAGAATGATGGCCAGGCACAGCTGGGCCAGAGTGCCTACTGCTTAGGCACATGGAGATCAGAATTTCACACCACATCCCTGAGCATGCTGTTTGAACCAAGGCTTTATGTGGTGCTTGGTGTACTATTAAGTAACAATGCATGTTCCCTTTTAATTTCTAAATACTTTCTTCACAGATCTTTAGGTTCCTGAAACTGGTGGCAACATGACCTGCTAAATTTTCTGCTTGGACCTCTTTGGTTCTTTCCCCTTTCAAGTGAGCAGCACCATGATGACTGTCTAAAGCATGCCTTATTTAGCCTCTCCTGTAAGGGTGATCTAGCCAGGTACATTTTAAATAATGCTTCAGTGTAGAAGGTGTAAACTATTTTGGGCTTGATGTGCTGTGAATGTTGCTTTTATTTTTTATTTTTTGTTAAAATATTTAAATAGAAGTGAAAAGGTGATCTCTGAGGGTCAGATCATGCATGCGCCATTTTTTACTTAATGCAGCTGTTAAATTGGCAAAGCTCTAAAATGCACTGCTGCCATCTAGTGATACATTTTTGTAAAGTACAGCAAAACATACAGATATATACAGTATATAAATATATATATATATATTTATATTTTTTGGGGTGGGAGAAATCCAAAATAAATGCTTGTTTCATTTTTAAGCTGCTGATACTCATTCCTTATTGTATGTTGTCAGATGAGGAAATTGTTCAGTTCTGGTACATAAAGATGAGTAATATAAACTGAAATCTATAATTTTAAGGGCTTAACCTATGACTTTGATAAGAAGCTGGAACAATTCACTGAATGGATATAATGAATTACAGTATATATGTATGATTGCTTTTAAAGTGATTATTTTTTCTTTTGTTAAATCATGTAAATTCCTAAATCCTTTCGCACTGATGTGTTAAAACCTAATTGTACATTCAGTTAAGGCAAACTTTTATAATTTACCTTTTGTTTTCAATGATCTTGAAATGTTATAGCATGGTATTCTATGCAACTAGTTATTCTTTGAGGTTGACACTGTATTTTTTTCATTGATTCGAGTGTAGATTTTCACGCCCAGCAGGGTTCCCACGCGGTGCGTAATTGGTAGATGCATGTACTTGTGTTTTGTGTAATTGCTGAAGTGCAATGATGTAAAAAAAACAAAAAGTGGATTCACCTGTTTTTAAAAATAAAACTGATAAAAGGTGTTGGAATAATACTCTTTATTCTCTACAATCTTAGGATGAAGTATTTTTCCCCATTGCTCCCAATTTCTGTATGTACACAGACTTAATCACTCAGCCCTGTCAGCTTTTTTAGTTCCTTTTCCACTTCTTCCACAAATGCCGGGAAGTTCTGATCCATGAGGCACAAGCGTAGAAAGGGGCCTAACCCTTGTGCATTCCATGCAGATTGTTCATAGACAAGGGGCAGCTCCTCTGATGCCATGAGAGACTGTGGGGATTCCAAAAGAGTAGTTTATTAGAGAGTTCAGGGGAAAGCAACAGCCTTGAATACTGGAACACAGGAAAACTGCCTTATGGTAAGACTCGGGAAGTGAGACACCAAAAGCCAGTGTTCCTTTACATGATGTTTCTAAATATACATACAGAGTGAGATAAACTGGTATCCTTAGTATTTCAAGTATACTAAAAGTGATTTGCAAAGATACTGACTGCTTTAATGAAGAGTACAGTGCTGATTAAGTTTGTGGATTGAGAAGTCTTATCAATGAATGAACTCCACTTAGTTCATCCTTCCCACCTAATAGGTGGAAGAATGGATGTGAGCTGTTCATCATATGGAAATTGGGTTCTGAATGTAATAAAGGTTACAAACTGACTATCCCGAGGACACAGCTCGCTGTGTCTTTCTCTGGTTCTGTCCATGAGGCTTGACAAGTAGAGGCATGTGTCCATTGCTAAATGAAGGCAGAACACTTCCATCACCCCCCAAAATTCCCTCATTGCTATCTGCTCTTATTGTTAAACCCTCAACTCTTAGCAACTATGATCTGTCCTCCATACTGTATATAGTTTTGCCTTTTCTGGAATGTCATACAAATGATGTCATATAATACTGCACGTTTTTCACATGCTTATTTGTCATCTCTCTGTCGTCTTTGGTAACCTGTAGTATTTTAAAGTCAGTTGACTAAGCTGCCAATATTTAAACATGAGGAGAGTTTAAAAAAAAAAAAAGTCTGTGACTGTGCTTGGCAAATTGGAAGATTACGCAAAAAGATGCACCGACCCAAGCAATGAAGATGGCTTCAGCTCTCTGTGTGGTCCACCTACCTCTGAGCCTTGACTTAGCCTTCTTATTCACTCCTCATGTTAATTCTGCTAGATAGGCAGGTTTTCTACCCTTTCCATGGATTGCATGGTTTGGTGTATATGTATACAGTTGACATTTCTCAAGGAACTATCTATAATAGAAACTGACTTTTCTAAATTCAAACCAGCTTTTCAGACTATCTAAAGGTAGAAAGAAGAAAATGAAAGTCAAAGTGAGAGCCACTATTAACATGGTAGTAGTATCTCCTTCCAAATTTATTTCGTGTGTGTGTCTTTACTACAAAAGTCAAATCATGTGTGCTGTTTTGTAGCCTTTAAAAAACAATGTACTATGAATGTCTTCCATTGTCAACAGATTAAGACAGACGTCACTTTTTATTGACTACATTTTATCCCGCTTATGGTTATGGCACTTTTTAACCACTCAGTGTCCCATTAGTGAATAATTGTTCCTATTTTGTTACTATTAAAATTACTGAAAAACATCTTTGTATGTATATTTGTGTAGATGAAATGGTATTATAGGTAATAAGATATTAAATTTTATCTACATTGCTAAATGGCTTTCAAAGAATTTTACCAGTTTATATTCAAAGAATGACTTGTCTAGAAGGTTATAGCGAACAAGCAGCATATCTGAGCTAGCCTGATGCTTTTTCTTTATACGTGGTTCTTCTATATGCTGTAAATAAATTGGACCGAGGTTCATCTTTTATAGTAACTGATACTTCCTGAATAAGGATATCGCACCCTACTCTGCTCATGTTTTTCTGTGGCTTAGTCACTCTGATTCAGTTAACCTATAATCCTGGTGCAGATACAAGGCTACAAACAGGGAGTTATGAAGTCTGCCCTGCTGCTCAAAAACAAGGTTTCTAAATTTTGTCATAGTTCTGACTTACTAAAAGAAATAGACATGAATTCTTATTTAGTCTTAATTTTCAGGTTTTAAAATCTGTGACTGCCCATTTATTTTGCGTGAGTGGTGTGCCAGGTGGAGAAACACCCATATCTTCTTTCTTACACCAGTGTTAGCACAGGTTAATAGATAAAAGTAAAAAGGAAACTTAGGAAAATTGGATGTTGATGAATTCCATGCAGAATTTTAGGGAAAGCATAAACTGTTGGCTGAGAGCCTGCTGTTAAGCACAGCAGGGAATGCACTGAGGAGACGACCAGCCTCAGGAACCCTGAGGCTGAATGAATAGTTCTGCAAGAGTGTTTGATAACAGGAAAATTCAAGTGGAGAGGCCACATCCAAAAGCAGTTCTGTGGTAACAGAGTGGAGTCTTCCCGGGGCTCCATACATCCTTAACCTGAGACCCTCACACTGAAGATCTGCCCCTACAGAAACCATAGTTGAATCGATTTCAAATTCATATTGATATTTGTCTTAGAAGAGTTTCCAAATTTCATTTCCAAAGTTAAACTGAAATTCTTACCTTTATTCCTCTCTAAGGATGGTGGTGAATAAATTGTTTATCTCACACATTTAAAGGCTAACATTATAGACCACTTTTCTGTCTTTTATTTCCTCAGGAAGATAGTTCTTCAGTATGTGCCATCATGTCTAACCTCACAACAGGATAGGTGGAAGTGGCCTGTCTCTGTCTTTACCATCTTCTACAGTAACACTTTAAGTTACTGTTCTAGAACAGAGGATTGAAGAGGGATACAAAGTTCTTCGGGATCACTGTTTTCCTGACATGAAAACCGAATATGGAAGTAGGCCCTACCTGAGCTAACCAGGCCACCGAGGTCCTTCCTCCCGGACTGCTTGCGTCAGCCGGCACCCTCTGCTGCTGCTCTGAGTTCTGCAGTGAAACAGCATGCAATCAGACTGGCTGAGCATAATCATAAATACCGCAGGCCATTAAAGCAGTGGAACACATGCATTAAAATGTTAAAGAGAATCAGTAAAGGTGCTAAAGTCATTGTCAGTGTAGTCTGTCCTGGTTTAAGCTTGGCTGTTGCCTGATTTACCACAGCAGAGACACAGAGAGGAAATCTGAGGCACCGCCCTGTGCTTGCTGTCCTTGGGTCTCACAGGCTGGTAGTGCCTTTTCCTGCCTGACACCCTGGCATACTTCTGTCTTAAGAGGCCCAGTCCAGGACCATGTGCTGGTACTGGAGGGCAGTGGACATTGCCCAGCTTCTGATAATTTATAGAAGGTTACAAACTATGATTATTACTCGGGTAATATACATGTTCCTTGTAGAAAAGCAAAATGGGGGTGGGGGGAACACTATAGTTGCAAGATAACCATATCTTGTAACTTTTTAAAAAAAATCTCATTTTAGACATTCTGAGGTTATGAATAAGTTCTTCTGTTAGTAAAATTCATAGATATATTCATTCAA